CCTGCCTTATATACTGGGCATGATGTTCTATGGTATAGAATAAGCCAGTCAGCCATCCTGGCCATGCTCTCTCCGAGCTTTTCATGCAACTCCTCACTGGTACAGAGAGCATGGGAAACTGAAAATCCTTGATTTAAAGTAAGCACTACTTAGCAACAATGTGTGTGTTGGTGTGAAAAGACAGGTGTCTGCAAAGGAAGGGAGAAACCTCTCTTGAAATGGAAAATACGTAAACCACCCCCTCCCCCTGAATTACTGTAATCTTGAAATCAAGAGGCTCTAATGCAAAGATATGGGAATAGGAATAACAGTTCTTTACTAGGAAAATTAAAATAAAAATGCAGTAGTACAAAACAACAACAATCAACTAACCAAAAACCAAACCAAACCAAAAGAAAACCCCACTGACAGAGTCAGAATACAGCCTGACACCCTGTTGGTGATCCATAGCTTCAGATGTGGTTCCCATGCATTCTCAGCTTTCTCCTCCCAACCTGCTAACCACAGTTTGTGGTCATTTTTAACTTCTAGTGTTGATCAGATGGTGGAACTAAGGAGGAAACTGGCAGGTAGTGAACAGATGTGGTTCTGTTGAAGCAATGACTCTGTAGAAGGGTGTAGTTTTCCTCTGAAGGTCTGGTGGTCCAGTCTTTCCTTTGGGAACCCAGCGGAGAAAGGCTGCTTTGTGTTGTTCTGAGGTCCCTCTGGGCAGAGAGAGCAATTCACAATGGGATGATGTAATTTTATCAGTCATGCAGTGAGACTCAATGGCCCATTAACAGAAGATATATCTCTGGAGGAAGGATGGGTTATGGAAGAGATAAAGAACACTGCCCCACCTGGTTTTAACAGAAGGTAATAGAATACATACTTTTGGTTACATCTTGCATTGCAATCCAAGACAGTGTGTTATCAACATTATTCTTATTAAAAACGAGATTCACTTAATAAATTATAAGAAGTTTAATATAAACAAAAGACAATTAGGAGACAAAAGAAATAAAGCAAAGGGTTAAAACAGCCGGGTGCCCTGGCGGGTTGCCAGGAAAACACCTGGTATCTTGGAAACACTCTTTTTATCCCCTCCTGCTGTGAGGATTTGATGCATATTCAAACTATTTCAAGAAGTATTTAGCATGTCCCCTCCCTGCTTCCACCTATTTAGAACATGCTTTGTTTGATTTCTATTTCTGCTATTCAGCACTAGTTTTGCTGGTCATCATTATTTTTGCTGACCACCATTATTTTGAGTCTGGTTTCCTTCTGCAAATGGTCAGTGTTAATAACAGTCCGGGCCCCTTATCCTTCCTTTGAGGGCAGATGGGCTTCATCTCTTCTGCTGATAACAGTTTGGGCTCTATTGTTCTCTTGATAACAGCTCGGGCCCCATTGTCTTTGCCCTCTGGGGTTTCCTTGCTTTGTACCTAGGAAATTCTTTTAAGCTTAAGACTTGTTAGCAAGAAAAAAGTACATACTTAGCTAAAAAGTATTTAACATATAATATTCATCTTAATACCTGCGAAAGCCAATATCACAGTATAGATTTATAACATTCTCATAATAAATCAAAAACACCACACTGTACCAGCTACTGGAAAAAAGTTAACTCTATCTCAGTCAAAAGCAGAACATCCTCAAATTAAATACACTGGTATGAAACTTCTTTGACTTGTCATGTCAAGAGTTCCCAGAAAGAGAGAGATAGATTGCCTTTGTTTTCCAGCTAGTTGAGGCAGAGAGGTCTTCCTGGACTGTTTTCTTTCCTTTTTCTTGGAACGGTTTGAACCTGCTCTGGGCTGGGGACTCAGGGGAGCACTGGAAGCTTGCACCAGTGGACTACTGGGAGCCCAGCCTGGGCAGTGGCGTTTTCCAGCACAAGAGGGATTGATAACAGAGTGAACACCTACAGGAAAGAGACACTCTGAATTTGTCATCTCTCCAGAGCGGTGAGAGGTTTTGTAATTTGGTATTATTCATTCTTGTGCTGGGTAGTGCTGTGCCTGTTAAATAAACAGGTTTTTTCCACTTCTCTTGGTGAAATCTCTTCCCGAACCGATTGGGGGAAGGAGCCATGTGGGTTTGCTTCCTTGGACGTTTTCTCCCAAATTTGCCCTAAACCAGGACAAATACATTAAATTGCTTTTTGCTTGCAGCTTTTGGTAAAAGGATGTATTGTGAACTAAAGGCCAAGTGGCAAGAAATCAGTGTTTCCAGATATTTTCATTATTCATGTACTTCACATGGGATCTGTGGCAGGTGGCCCACACTGAAATCAAGAGTCTAAACTACCAGCTAGAGTGCAAATGTTTGTATTCCAACATCTATCTAATGTTCAGAACAGAGTACCACAGTGATTTTGTGGTATTTTTGAATGCCAGTTTCAGAAACCATTTCACCTATAGATCACCTAAGCAGTCATGGCTTGCAGTTTAAAACTTCTGTCTGTATGCACTTACATAGCAAGTCCCTTTCCAGGACCTCCTGCTCTTCTGTACAGCTGCAGCAAAGCTGACTTACTGTAAAGGGAGGCCAAAATTGTTCCTAAGAGAAGGTCCCAACATATTGGACAAACCTTGGATTATCTGCCTTGAAATCTTGAAGCTTTTAGAGTACACAGGTTCTAATCAAATCAGAAGTTACGGTGTTTTTCCTTCTATTTCACATGGTTAGAAGTGGGACTGTGACTATCCTGAATTTCTTGTTTGATAGCTTAAAAAAGCAATTTATTCTTGCCAATACTTGGAAGTGATTGGGCAAAGCAGTTTAGATTGGAAGAAGCTGGAGGATGGGTGTGTGACTCGAGTGGATTTGGATCTCAAATTTCAAGAGAGAATGTTTGTCAGGGAAAAATGATTACATAAGTAAATCAAAAGTAATTAAAACATGTCCTTTCTCCTGAAAGTTATTTATATATGAACTAAGTTGTTCTGCACTTGCAAATTATTATTTCATTGCCTGACAGATACACTTGACCAAAGCTGAAAACAAAAATGGGCTTCTTGCCTCAGTTTTGTCCTAAATGTCACTGCATAATATGATCTGGTATAAGCTAGCAAGAGTGTACATCACAGTCACAAACTTGCTTTTTTAAGTACCATCTGGAATGCATGTGTCTGAGCAGAGCCCAAGGAGAAATTCAGCAAAGTGCCGCATACAAATCAGCGCTTGTGGCAGCTCTTGTGAAAAAAAAATAAAAATGGGGACAGGAAGATCAGTTACATTTTCTGTCTCAGGCCAGGGTGTTCAGGGCACTTTCCAAGCTGGATTAAAAAAATAACCCAAAACTGAAAAAAAAAAAACCTAGTAATGGAGAATTTATTTTTTTTTCCTTAAGAATTGACCTTCATGAGAACCTAAGTGCAAAAGGTTGAAAAATATTTGACTTAATCACAGACATTTGAAAGAGCCATGCAGTAATTTAATGTATTATTAATAATGAAGAAAATTTCTTTATGGTGTTTTAAAATTGGTAGGTGAGTGGATGGGACTCAATGGACATGAGTTCCAACATACTGTATTTTGATCTTCTTTATTTAGTGTACTGTAATTGCTTTAATTCTTAGCAGAATATCTGGAAATTATGCTGAAGTTTAAATACCAATTTGTTAATGAAGTGTATTTATCTACACAGTACAGATGAAATATTTTTATATCAGACAATTAACCTTAATTTGAGACCATGCAAATGAATTGTCTTGATTTCTAATTTTGATGGAATGAAGCATTCTTTTTAGATGAAACAGAAAAATATCAAACTGAATAGACATTGGATAAAATAAATAATATTAAATTAGACTGGTATAATTTTAAAATATATTCAAGAATAAATTAGAGGACAAGATTACCGACTGATCTTTGGAGTAGTCACATACTGCCATGAGAAACAGATGTGATAACAATTCAAATCCTTTAGATTTAAACTGAGCCAAATTTAGACTATAAACTCTCTGGGATTTGCATATATTTACCTCTTTGAAGTATGTACATTTAAAGCCCTGTAATAACAAAGAATGGAAAAACTTGAAACTAAACTTTGGAAAAACTGAAAACTGACTACAGTCACCTGGAAAAGACTAGACCTTATATATGAGCTTATATATAAGCTTAATGCTTTTAACTACATGGTAGATATTATCAAAAATTTAACTATAACTTCCTTGTTTTGTTATCCAAAAGGATGTCTTTTATAGAAAGAATTGCTTGCTTAAACAGTAGAGAGCATGAGAAAAACAATACACACATTTTTATTATTTTTTTCAATGGACTACTATTAAGGAACTGGTACTGACAACTAAAATACCTCAGTGTCTGCTGAGCCAGAGAAAGAAGGATTTCATACTAAAATGTATTCAACTGAGGTAAGCACTGAGCAGGGCAAGAGCCAGAGCCAGTCTGTGCTGTGGACATTTCAGCAGCAATGTGGGTCAGGGTTCCTGATCACATCACTGTGCTGTCACTTTACTGGTGTGTCTTTTCTCCCCTCCTGGAGTGGCTATTTCCTACAGCAGCAAATGATGCAGCTTTGCTGGTTCACACTTTTTGTGGACTTTGATACAATCCAGTGTATCAGCACTGTTAAACAAATTCAAGTGTCTTATCAGCAGGCACTCCCTGGTTCAAAGCCAGGACCTCTAACTCCATCTGGAAATACAGGAGTAGTGATACAGCAAATGTTTTCTTGCAGAAGAAAACCCTTTAAATGTTACTATAGCCGGCAGAAAGCCATGTGGGATATACAGAGAATCAGTGTTTATTCTGAATAAAGGTTCTAGTGAGACATTATGAACAAAAATGAATGCTGAAATCTTCAAAATTGAATCTAAGGAAAGTGAACCAGAATGAACCTGCATGATTTTACACAGTATTTGCTGATGTTATCATACCCTAAAATATATTAACTGAGTGTCACAAATAGCAGTAATACTCCTTAAACCCTCAGTAGGCAGATTTTCTTGGTATTCCAACATTGTTTGTAAACTGATGACCCACTGCACTAGAAGTATAGTTTCAGAGGTTATTTTAATAAGGTTTTTGAATTTCGTGTCTCTTTGGGGGAAAGGCTGTTTGGTGTTCATCCATAATGGTAATGTACTCATAGCATTAGATTTCCTAATGCCCGAGAGAGACCAGAAAAAATCCTGTTTCCCAAAGCAGTCCTTGTTTTTCCTTGCCATTGCTTTTACCTACTGATTGACTCCTTCTGCTTAGAGTCCTGTTGCAGCCATATTCCCCTCTCCATTACATCATACACTAGTGAATCAGGACCAAGGAAACCTTTCTATACACAGGCGAAATCAAGCTGGTCCAAACAAAGAGAGTGGTGCCCGCAGCTGTTCCCCAAGTAAACAAACTACCCCACAGCACAAAACACCTGCAGCGCCCCGGCAGCAGGACGGAGCTGCAGGGATCAGAAAGACCTCGCGGGAAGCAACCTGTAAAAGAAGAGAACGATTCTTTCACACGTTTTAAATCGAGCTAATGAAGAACACCAGGCCCCACTCAGCCCTCACAGCCCGGCCACTCCCCGGCGGAGCCGCGCACGCGCAGCTTCCTCACCTCTCCCACAGCCCCGCCCCCCGCGGAGCCCGCGCGCCGCTGTCACTCAGGGGCCGTTCGTCACCCCCGCGGCTCTGCC